CATTGGTAAATCTTTTGCATTTCTTTGCATAGCTTGTGTCCAATGTGGTTAAATAAACTTCAACAACTTGTTTTAGAACAATCACCTGTTTATCCATTACGTGCTATGGGTACTTGTTTAGCTCAAGTATCACCATCAATTCCACGTGATTTATTTAATGCATCGTTTATATCTTGTTGGAGTGAATTAAATTCTCAAGATCGAGCAAGTTTAACAGCTGCATTAACATATGTTTTATCCGTATGTGATAAACCTGATGTTATACAAATAATATTAAATTTAGCTGAATTTCGTAATCATTGTGATTTAAAATTAAAATTAGAACGACAACAAAAAGGAAATAAACGAGGTGAAGATGTAAATTTAAATGATACAAATGATGAAATAAGCAATGATAAAGAAAAAACAACTAAAAAAGATCAAAGTTCCGATAATGATGATGATACAGAAAGATCATTAATTAATATTCATTTATTAAGTGAAAAAGCTTTTTCAGTTCGAGCTTATGCTAAAGCTTTAAGATATAAAGAAGAAGAATTTCAAAAACAACAGAATTCATCGGTAAATGAAGCATCTATTTTATCCGATATTGTTGAATCATTAATTAGTATTAATCATGAATTACAACAATCTGAAGCTGCATATGGTGCATTACAATATGCTAAACATAATAATATTAAAATAAAAGGTCTTTGGTATGAAAAATTAAATCAATGGGAACGTGCATTAAGAAATTATGAATTTTATCGAACAAATGATTCATCTAATATGGATATACATATGGGACGTATGAGATGTATGCAAGCACTTGGTTCATGGTCTGATTTAAAAGATTTATCAAGTCAAGTATGGGATTTAACTGAACAAATTCGTGATGAACAACCTGCAGCAATGTTACCATTTACAACAAGTTTAATTGATAGAAATTCTTCATCATCATCAGTATTACATCCTTCGCAAGGTATGATAAATGGACGTGAATTAAAAAAAATTCTTCAACAAAAAATTGCACCTATGGCAACACGTGCAGCATGGAGTCTTGGTGATTTATCTGATATGGAAAAATATTATATTCATATACCAGATACGAAATTTGAAGGTGCATATTATCGTGCTGTTGATGCAATTCGAAATGATAATTATAGACAAGCACAAGATTCAATTGATTTAGCAAGAGAATTATTAGATGTTGAATTAACAACATTAGCTAATGAAAGTTATAATCGAGCATATTCAGCTATGATTAATGCTCAACTTTTATCTGAATTAGAAGAAGCATGGTATTATAAAATCTTACCTGAACGTCGTCAATCAATCTGTGAAATTTGGCAAAAACGTATGCAAGGAAATCAACCAATAATTGATGATTATCATCGTTTATTATTAACACATTCACTATGTTTACCCATGGCACAAGATCTTCAATCTTGGATTAAATTAGCTAATCTTTGTCGTAAATCAAATCGTTTAACAATGGCTGATTTTATATTTAAAGAACTTGCTCATACAGTATTAACTGATCAAACAAATATTAATCGTGATATATCAATAGTAAGTTCAAATACATATCAAAGTCAAACATCACATCATTTTAATGTTCAAACAACAACAACACCAGCATTTTCAATTCCATCACAACAAAATTATTATCATCCATCATTAATTGATCAACAATTAGTTAAATATGAAAAAGCTAAATATGATTGGCATTGTTTAGTTGCAACACGTGAACGTCTTTTACTTGAAAGACAAAATCGTAAACAAGTTTTTAATAATGAAAATACACCAATAATTGAAAATAATCATGGTATAACTTCACTACCAACATCATCATCATCTGTTAGTATATCAACATCAGTATCGGCAAATATTGAAATTACAAATTTTAAACTTGAACAAAATCGTCAAGAACAATTTAAATTAATTGAAGAAATGAAAGAAATGGTTACGAAAACATGTTTACCTGCATTAGATCATTTAAGAAAACAAGCAGCAACAACAACTGGAACTGTTCAACAACAAAATATTATTACAACAAGTGGAGGTACAACACCTGCTATTACAGGAACAACATTAACTGGACAAACTCAAACTCTTAGTGGTGCTGGACCACAAATAACTCCACTATTAATAACAACAACAACAGCAACACCACCATTAAATTCCACTGCATTTTCTTTAATGACAACAACATCTTTATCAACATCATCTCAACCAATAAATCAACGTGAACAACGTCTTCGTCAATTAATATCAAAATGTTATTTACGATTAGGTACATGGCAACATGAATTATTTGGTATGACTGATGAATTAACATTAACTGAAATTATGAAAAATTATGAACATGCTTGGACATATGATGAATCAAATTATAAAGCATGGAATGCTTATGCTGTACTTAATTATGATGCTGTTAATCATTTTAAACAACGTATAACATCACCATCACGTCAACAACCACAATCACAACCATTAACACCACCGCCACCAACACAAATAACAACTTCTCAACAACCAAATCTTGATGCATCAAATGAAACCTACCCACAATTAACAGCAAAAATGATACATTGTACAATTCCAGCTGTTAAAGGTTTACTTAAATCAATTTTACTTTCAAAAGCTAAACATTGTCTACAAGATACTCTTCGTTTATTAACACTTTGGTTTGAATATGGACAATATCGTGAAGTACATGAAGCACTTGTTGAAGGTATTCGTACAGTACCTGTTGAAGTATGGTTACAAGTTTTACCACAATTAATTGCACGTATTGATTCTCCAAGACCATTAGTTCATCAATTAATACGACATTTACTTATTGATGTTGGTCGACAACATCCTCAAGCTTTAATTTATCCATTAGTTGTTGCATCAAAATCAGTTGTACGTGAACGTGAACTTGCAGCAAATACAGTTTTAAATAATATGAGAGAACATAGTCATACACTTGTACAACAAGCTATGGTTGTTAGTGAAGAATTAATACGAATATCAATATTATGGCATGAAAAATGGCGTGAAGGTTTAGTAGAAGCATCAACACAATATTTTGATGAACGAAGTATACCAGGTATGATTGAAACATTAGAACCATTACATACAGCAATTGAACGTGGAAGTACAACATTAAATGAACGTACATTTCTTGATTCGTATAGTAATGATTTATCTCAAGCTCATGAATGTATTCGTCGTTTTCAACGAACAAAAGATCAACGTGAATTAGATCAAGCATGGGGTCTTTATCATCAAGTATATAAACGTATTTGTGCTCAATTACCAAATATAACATCATTGGAATTAGATTATGTTTCTCCACGATTAGCAACACATTGCCGTGATTTAGAATTAGCTGTTCCCGGTACATACGAACCATATAAACCACCAATTACAATTCGAAGTGTTCATTCTCGTATAACAGTTATAACATCAAAACAACGACCAAGAAAAATTAGTATAACAGGTTCAGATGGTTTTGAATATGTATTTTTATTAAAAGGACATGAAGATTTAAGACAAGATGAACGTGTTATGCAATTATTTGGTTTAGTTAATGAATTTCTTTCAGCTAATGATGAAACACGTCGTCGAAATTTTATTATTCAACGTTATCCAGTTATACCATTAGCACCAAATAATGGTTTACTTGGTTGGGTTGCTCACTGTGATACATTTCATACATTAATCAAAGAACATCGTGAAAACGCATGTATTATGGTTGATACTGAACCTCGTTATATGCAAGCGAAAGCTCCAAATTATGATCAATTACCGCTAATCAATAAAGTTGAAGTTTTTGAATATGCATTGAACTTATTAGAAGGAGATGATTTAGCTAAGATTCTATGGCATAAAAGTTCAAGTGCTGAAATATGGTTAGATAGACGATCAAATTATACAAGGTCGTTAGCAGTTATGTCAATGGTAAGATAAAACAGCGATATTCAATAAAGGTTTTAGCTTAATATATAAAAAGTACTTTCGGAAAACATTCCAGTTATGAATAACACGTACGTTTGTAGAGCAAATATTTGATGTCTATGAATTTTTTTTCTTGACGTTTTACAAATAATTGTAAGTTGAGATGATGTTATTTCCTTCAATGAATATTTTCCGGAAAAAAGTTAATACATAAGCATCATATCATTATTTTCTATAGCTGTCTAGAAAGATAAATATAGTAATTGTCAACAACTTCATCTTATTTCCATAATGGATTGCTTGTTTAAATATTTCATAATTATTTATGAATAAAAAACAAATCTTAAAAAAGCAACTGAAGGACAGACAACATATTTGTATAGAATATAATATAAGAATTGATATTTTGTGTTATTACTTTTGAATTAATAGCAAAAAATATTTCTATTTAATGATTTTGCTTTTTTTTAGGTTGGTTATATATTAGGTTTAGGTGATCGTCATCCATCAAATTTAATGCTTGATCGTGCTAGTGGAAAAGTTGTTCATATAGATTTTGGTGATTGTTTTGAAGTTGCAATGACAAGAGAAAAATTCCCAGAAAAAATTCCATTCCGTTTAACACGTATGTTACGTAAAGCAATGGAAGTAACAGGAATTGATGGAACATTTCGTATGACATGTGAACATGTTATGGATGTATTACGAAAAAATCGTGATAGTCTTATGGCTGTATTAGAAGCATTTGTTCATGATCCATTATTAAATTGGCGTTTATTAGAAAGTAATAATGAACAAAATGGTGGAACATCAAATGTAAGTAATAGATCACCTCAAACAGGTCAACCACAACAAGCACATTATCAACCACAGTTATCAACAGTTAATGAAGAAGATGCTGAACATGAAAGTACAATTGGTGGTAAAGTACAACAACAACAAAATCTTGTAACACAACCGGGTAGAACAATACGAGCCGTTGAAATAATGAATCGTGTACGAGAAAAATTAACGGGAAGTGATTTTCATCGAGAACAACCTGTGGATATTCCAACACAAGTTGAATTACTCATTAAACAAGCAACAAGTCATGAAAATCTATGCCAGTAAGTATTTTTAGTTTTTGAATGAATATTATTTTGAAATAACTTTCTTTTAGATTATACATGGGTTGGTCTCCATTTTGGTAAATATGTATTTTTTCTTTTCCGTGTTGTCTACGATTTTTATATGTATATACTCCTTCTTTTTTTCTTTTTTTCTTTTTTTTTTGCTAAACGAAAATAAAACTTTTAAATCGAATGATATTATTTGAATCAATTTCGATTTTCATTTTATTGATTAAGATTATTTTATGTTATTCAACTTTTTTTTTCCTTTTTTTGACACTAAAAAATATTCATACCAGAAGGTAAAAACATTTTATTTATTTCGTGCTTTATATTAAAAACATGGAGAAAAGCAAAAGATTGGCATATATATATTTATATGATATTTCTTTTTGTTTAAATTGATTTTTCTTGTCAAATATCTATAATGCAATGGAAAAAATAAAAAATAAATACTAATAGTCAATATATACAGACGATAAAATTCGATAATTATTAAGAAAATGTTTTAAGAACCACTTTTAAAAAGTAAAATTGATAGTGTACCTTTTGTTAAATAAATAAACCCATTCATTTCATGAGTTACATAGGAACTAAATTGTCTTCTAACAATACAATGCCAACATGATGAAAATGTTTTATCAGCTGAACGTTTAAGAAAACCAGCTAATTCACGTTGATTATTTAAATCATATTTACGAAATGATGATCGAACTAATTCAAGCATTTCTTGTTCATTTGTAGCTGATAAATCAGTTGATTTGACTATTAAATCATCATCCTGTTCACTACGTCGTACATGTTGTTGTTGTCTATATGAATTATCATTATTATTTGTACCAAGTCGTGATAACGAATTAAAAATAGACGATTGAGATCGATATGTTTGATTTTGTCCATTAAGTAAATCATCATATGAATTTGTTCGTATATTTCCAATTGGATTATTTGAACGATACATATCATTATCAGCAATTTGAGAACGATAAGGAGTTGATTGATATGTATTTGTATTTAAATCATTTGATAAATTATTATAATTACTCGTATATTTTCTTGATGGTGTTGTTGGACGTATTGGTATTGATGATAAAGATGAAATACTATTTGAATAAGCTGTATTAGTACCTCGTAAGGATTGATTGCCATCATCCATTATTTGATAAGAATTATAGTTTAGTCTAGTTGAAGGTTGATGTTGGTAATTTGTCGATTCTACTCCGAATGTTGGTGTTCGAACAGGTGAAGATGATGAATAGGTAGATGTATACATATCGGAACGATATACGATGTTGCCTGTTTATATGTACGTATATATATATATGTGTATGTATGTATATATATTT